GGCCCTTGGGTCTGGTGATCATCAGCGTTTCTGCACTGCTCTAGGCCTTGTGCCTACTCTGCCTCACCTGCTGGTTGCTTGACTTGTCTTGTACTGTGATCTACATATATATATATACCTGCATGCTTGTTCTTGCTAGGTTGTGATCACTGTACTGCTTGTGCTTTTATAACTCTGCATGTGAACTGGCCTTGTGGCCGCTTGCTTGTGCTTAGAATGCGTGGTGATCTTGAGATCCACCTTGAGCTTTGCTTTGCTTTGTTCTCGTGCTTGACTGGTCTTGTGACCTTCCGCTGTGTTTGCTATCCCCCACTTTGCCTATGGGGGTGTGTCAAAATGTATTTGTTCTCTGTAGGCTGAAGTGGGGCATACCCTAAAGGGTACAACACTTTAGGGTTAGGTAGTACTTGTACTCACTCTTCCTACCTAGTCCCTCATTCGTACGTTCCTACTTCTGACACCGTCCCGTCCCGTCCCGTCCCGTCCCATCCCATCCCATCCCGTCCCATCCCATCCCATTCCGCCATACCAATCCATCCCATTCCATGCCAGCCCATCTGTGCCATACCTCAACTTTTGAGATGGCATACGGTAGGGATGGTTGTGGTGCAGGAGCGAGGGAGGTGGGTTGAGGATTGGGGGCAAGGCACAAGGGATGGGAAGGAGGTGAAGGGGGAAGGCTTGAGGGGGAAGGAGGGCATGTGAGGGAGGGTGGGCGCAAGCTTGGGTGATGATGCTGTGGCGAGTGGGGATGAAGGGGCAGAGGGGGGTGTGCTGGTGGTGAGGGAGGATGCACGGGAGGGGGAGGGGGAGGATGAACGGCCACTGCGAATTGTATCCGACAGTGTGCGAAACGAGAGCGGTCATACCGTATGGCCCCGGATATAGGCGCCGTCCGATTAAAGGCGCCGGCGCCTATATCTGGAGCATGGCGCTTATGGCCGTACCTCGATTATAGGCGCACCCCATTTTGTACCCGTACTTATTATAAGTGCATACCTTGAACATTTTTACTCAATTTTTAGTAAAACACTAATAATTAACATCTTTGAAAGCATTTCATTAGAAATCTAGCACCAACAATTACAACTACCTACTTCGAACTAAATGAACAGGCGTTTACAAAGGCCTTTCTACCAAGGAACCAACTAGCTACTCCTCCTCGTCAGACTCGGGCTCCTGGCAGTTGTTGCCGAAGAAGCCATCGGCGATGATGTCGTCGTCGACATCCACTTCCGCGGTCAGCTGGGTCCGCCTGTGCGCCATGGCGAGGCCGTCCTCGCTGCCGTCAAGCGCGTTGCTAATGCTACTGGAGAGGAATGCGCGCTTGATGAGGTCGGCGGGCACTGCCCTCCAGGCCCGCGAGATCCACCTCAGGACCACTACAGGTGGCGGCTTCTTGAGATTTTCTGAAACAACACAAAGAAATGATGGTGATTAGATCAACAACGGGGTGATTTTATCAACGTGCATAGACAGAAACCAGTTTAATTCCGTACCTGCTTTAGTCTGCTGTTCTTGCCCCTCCTCTTAAAACCACTTCTGGTACTGCTGACGGACGGAGGCCTTGAAGCTCTTGTTGACGGAGACGTCGAGGGGCTGAATCTCCCCCGTACAGCCCGACGGGATGATCGCCGGCACGCAGTTCAACTCGCGTAACTACTCCTTCACCCCCTCGGTGAGGTGCCCGCGATAGGAATCCAGAACCACCATGCAGCTCCTGGAGTGCCGACCGAAAGACGGCTTCAAGAACGGCTTGACACACTCGTCGAGCCAGCGAATGACGCCCGCGGAGTCCATCCACCCATTCTCGTGGCACGCCACGACCACATCTGCACAATAAACATCGGGATGTGAAACAAGAAATTAGTGAAACGGTAGACCAAAAACGTGTGCGACACACGTCAAACAAACATCACTTACCTGGCGGAAAGTCGCCCTTCGGCATCGTCTTCCTCTTGAAAAAAAACCACGGCTTGAGCTTGGCGCCGTCCGCCGTGCAGGCCAACATCACGGTCACGCGCTCCTTCTGGTACCCGGCACTCCTGATGGGCACCGAGCGAACGCCCACTTGCTCAACGGTCGTGGTGGTGGGCATCTCCAGCCAGCAAGGAGTCTGGTCAGCGACATCTGCGAGACGGTGAGAGACAGGGCGAAACACACAGGTGCAATTAGTACATCTCATGGTAAAGCACAAACAATTACCGTATGCAAACACAATCTTACGAGCGGCGGTTTTCTGTGCAACCCTTGTCTTCATGCGGACGCTTAGATTCCAGCGCTTCCGAAACCGCTCCGACCACCGTTGACTCCCCTTCCACTTCTCCAGAGGGTAGAGAACCTTCATAAACTCCTTCGACCACTCCTGCAGGCGGCCCACCGACACGGTACTTCCTTTGCGGCGCCACTCGAGGAGTCGCTCGTACACCTTCATCTCCATCGGTCGGTACCACGACGATCTCCCGCGACCGTGCATCCGCTTCCGTGCGGAGTGAGCTTCCTTCAGGAATTCCGCTGAATGCTTCCAGTTGGAAAGGCACTTACGGTGTATGCCGCTCTCGCGAGCCAACCCACGCACCGAAACCGCCACCTGCAGAAGCGCGACATACTTCAGTTTCTCGGCGGCGGTATAGGCTTGACGCTTGTGATCGTTGAGCTTATGCCCGGGAGAGGGGGGGCGGGCATCACGGTTCTGTGTAGCAGGGTGGGGTCGCTTGCGATTAGTAAGAGGGTAGGTAGGTATCGGCAACTTCTCTGGGAGCCCGTCGTGTGACCAGTACTCAACACCGTCATCCTTGTCGCCGCCCTGCGCACCCTCGGGAAACACATCCTCAGCGGTGCCGGCCTCGGTGTCAGTCTCCGTGCCACCCTCGGCGCCTTTGCCGCCCTCCTCGAGACTCTCCTCCTCAGCGTCAGGGACATCGTCATCGGCGCCGACTGCAGATTCGTCCCACGTACAATCGTCGGGACGGCCCCAGCGCTGTCCTGGCACATATTCAACATCCACATACTCATCTGTGGGCTTCTTGGACTCTGGTTCCGAGAGGTATTCGTCGAACGCCGATGGGAGCAGAAGCGTGACCACGGGAGGATTTCCCGTGTGAACAGGAGACACCGGCAACGGGTGAAAAGGAGGAACAGGAGGAACAGGAGGCGCAGGAGGCGCAGGAGGAGCAGGAGGAGCAGGCGGCGCAGGAGGCGCTGGAGGCTGTGGTGGCTCTGGTGGGCTAGGTGGGACACGGGAGTACCATCCGTCCGCATCATCTACAAAGGCGGGCTTACGGGTGGGTTTCCTCTTGAACAAGAAATGAGTGCCAGAGAATTCCGCCATGGCTTCCGCAGCATGGCGGGAGAGAGCAAGAATCTGAATGAGAAAGTGAAAGAATTGGAGAAGAAATGAGGGTTTGGAGGGGACCCCTTCTGGTGTGCGGCTCGAGTTCCTCTTCAGGGATAGTCGGATCCCCCCCTGCCTAAACCCGCAGAGGAGGGAATCGCGGCACGTATCTGCTGCGCTGGCAGGGATATTCCACCCCCTTCTCGAATGTTCGGGTGAAATGTGGCACCCTGGCAGCGCATGACATTCCTTTTGGGCCGCACGGCAGGATGCACGTCATCGCTGGCAGGTGCGTTGCTCCGGGACAGGCGTTGTGCGGTGGGAAATCGAGTCGCGGCTGGTTTTGGCGGGATTTCATGCACGAGCCCATAAGCCCATTTGCCTTATTGAGGGCTTCAGTTTCGTACATCTAAAAACAAAAACCATTTTTGACATTATAAAAGCGCCAGCGCTTATGGCCGTTACTCAATTACAAGCGCCACCCCTAAAAAATATGAATTTATTATAAGCGCATATGCGCTTATATCCGGGGCTAGACAGTACCATGTGTTTGCCTGCGAGTCTCATTATTCATCTATTCAGTGTCTGAGGCAGTGTCATAAGATACAGCAGTTATCAAGCTGATGGTGCTTGAGCAAGGTACGGTACCGTATTACCCCGGATAAAAGCGCACCTGCGCTTATAATAAAGCAGTGTTTTTTAGGGGGGTGCGCTTATAATTGAGTAAAAAATATAAGCGCATGCGCTTATAAAATGACAAATACAATTTTATATTCTTACTGCACCAAATTGTACATCTCCTTCTTGCAATTTCAATCGAAGCGCAGTGATAGGGGGTCGCAACTCAGAATCGTACGCGGGCGATTTTCTGCCGACGCACAGGGGCATTTACACGTCATTGCGCAGGAATTCCAGCTCATACTGACTGGACGCGCAGGATGTAAGGTCCTCGCGAGTCAATCGAACCGAAATTGGTGTGACCTCGCTGCAAATTTGAAATTCGTTACCGTTTCAAGCAAATTCAAATTTTAATATTATACATGCGCTTATAATAAGTCAGGGATTTACAGGGGGTGCGCTTATAATTGAGGATCGGCCATAAGCGCATTGCTCCAGATAGAAGCGCATGCGCTTTTAATAGGCCTGCGGTTATATCCGGGGCCATACGGTAGTGTCTGCCCCGGTGTGAGAGGAAGAGAGGATGTGGGCACAGAGTGGATGTGCAACCCAGTTTCCATAAGCGTTGCAAACCTAAGTACACAAAAGCAGTGTAGAACCAAGAACCTGTCAAATCATCAGAGTGGAAAAAAAAAAATATGCCTGCTTGCTTATTCTGATCACTGGGGTCACCAGAAGCACTGCCAAGCGGAGCAAGGGCTGCTCTTTCCTTCCTAAGTGACCCCCAGCATCTTTATTCACTACCACTTGAACACATTCTTTATTCTCCAGCTCTGGGCCTCTGGCCCCGACATTCCGTTCGAATCAACTTCAACTGTTACTTTCTGGAGAACTGACCGCGCATGGCGCCATCAGGGTACTTCTTGGTGTGGATATTCCCGTAGAACCCACTTGGCTGATGAGCGATCTTCATCAGATCCGACACCTGCGAATGCGAGAGGGCCTTCTCCTGCCCAATCACGCCCTCGCAGCGCCAGTCGTTGTTGCTTTACTTTTCGTACTTGCACGGCAGGTCGAGCAGCGCGTGGTGGTTCTGCCCCTTGACGCCCACGTGGATGTGCGTCTTGGTGGGCGGCATCTCGCCCTCCAGCTTCGACGCCTTCACTGAGAACTTCACCCACACGAGCTTGTCGTCCTTCCTGGTCACACGTGGCACCACCAGGGGTGTTGGAACAAAAAGAAAGGGGAATTTAGTATCAGCTGATCGCAGGAATGAAGGACAGAACTTCATGTTCTTGAAACATCTGGTTTAGAGAAACAGGTACTTGGAGAGGAATGTACGCATCAGCCGACTTTGTGACAGATGTAACGCCTGAGGAGCTTACTTGTAGAATTCCAGCTTCATCTGCCCCATGCCGCTTTTGTCATTGACGGCGTTCCTGGCAGCAGCGGAGTTACCCTTGGGAACCTCGTTGGCGCCAATCAGCTTCGCCGTGAAGGTGTCTGTCGGAGTCACGAGAGCGAGAGGGAGTGTAAGTCGACGATTGGAGAGCAGGGATCCGAAAGGGAGACGATGCTGAGCGACAAGATGAGGAAGGGCGACGGGAGAATGAGTCAAGGAAAGGGTAGAGCGACGGGCGGAGCGCGAAGCACTGACCAGTTTTTTTCGGTTGACTGTGATCATTGTGGTCTGCGTAGGCAACGGCCACCAGCACCGCGAAGAACGCTGCACGCACGAAGACACATGCGATGGAAACACAGGCGATCAGGTTACCATGCAGCGAAAACGCCATCAAAGTGCTTGTACACCATCGTAACAAGCATTGTGTCATCAACGACATGGAATCAGAGACATCGGACACTGACTCAATGCCAGTGCACATTGCACGGGCCTGGACATAGCCATCAAAGCAACGAGCCCGACGCAGAATGACGCTTTGAAGTGGTACTACTGGTAGTTGTTGTAACGCTTACCTAAGAGTAAGACGCGGCGAGTCAGAGTGAAGGCCATGATTCGGAAGCGAGATCAGATTCGAATTGCAAGAGGAAAAGAGTAAGTTGCTTGAAGAGAGAAAAGCCGATTTTCGCTGGATGATTTTCTACGAACTCGAACTCCGACTTTATAGTAATGTTGAGAGCCTGGATTACGAATGGGGAACGAACCGTGGCTTGCGGGTGAGGGGGTGAGCAGGAGTGACGGGTGCGACTCGCTTGAAGCTGCAGCGCGAGGAGACATCTCGACTCGGAGGTGCGTCGTGCTCGCCTCGTATAATTGCGAAGCACTGAAAACCACGTGAGCAGATCGCGGTGCGATTCGCCATATTCTGGCTTGGTCGGCAATTATCAGGGATTTCAGATTCTGAGAAACGAAGTTCTTCCCAATCATTGCAGCACTCTGCGAGGAGCACAGGTGAGGGGTCGCAGCGACGATATCAAGACACACAATTGTAAGTCGCCACGAAGAACGAACCCGCTACTCGTACAGTTCAGTTATTGGTTTGAATCACAAAAGTGTTCAGATTGCCAAGCAGATGTGACAAGTGGGAAATATGGCACTCGGGTATTGCTCTTCATGTATATGTGTGTGCGATCATACTCGTACAACTGGACTGGTAATGAGAGTTCTAATGTGCGATCTCATAATTGTTGGAAGAACCGAAAAGTTTCTACAGCATCATAAAATGTATAACCCGAATAGCGAAGCTGCGCCTGTACCATCTCAAGAGTGTAATGCAACGGAATGATTGACTAGCAAGGGAATACGGGTACAAATATGGAAACCTAAAAGCTGTACCCCCTAGAAGACACATCACTACAGCCTATTACAAATAATAACATTTGACACACCCCCATAGGCTAAGTGAGGGGCACCAAAACAAGCAAGGCAGACAAACGGTCACAAGACCAGTCAGCAAGAAGCAAAACAAGCTCAGGGTGGATCTCAAGGACACCACACAAATTCCGAGCGCAAACAAGCGGCCACAAGGCCAGTTCAAGAGTTCACTAAGATGTATATATAGGAAAGCACAACAAGCTGAGCAAGCAACAAGACTACAGCAACCGAGGGCCTACCTCAACAAGCCCCAACTGCACACAGAACCTGTGGTGGTCACCAAGCGCTAGGGCCTTGGTGAAGAAGTCTGCAGTGTTGGCCTCTGAGGCCACAAAGTCCAAGCGTGCCTGGCCGCGTCGCTGCAGCTCTCGCAAGAGGAAGTACCTCACGTCAATGTGCTTCACTCTGCTCTCCAGTCGAGGCTCTCGAAAGAGGAGGATCATGGCCTTGTTGTCAGCGTACAAGGTCGGTGCAGAGCGAGGCCGCTCACCAAGGTCAGCGAGCAAGAAGGTCAACCAGCGAAGCTCCTGTGCCGCCATGGCACCAGCGTAGATCTCTGCCTCTGCACTGGAAGTAGCCACAGACGACGACCGTGTAGACCTCCACGACACAGCACCAGCTCCCAGACTGAAGCAGTAACCCTGAGTCGAGCGCTGAGTCTCCACGTCGTCAGCATAGGAAGAGTCGCAGTGACCAGTCAACGCCACTGGCTGAGTCCCTCCAAGCACAAGCCCCATGCCTGATGTAGTCGCCAGGTACTTCGCCACCCTCACAGCAGCTGTCCAGTGGACAGGACGGTGTCTCCCAGTCGCAACAAATCGAGAAAGTATGCTGAGGGGAAAGGCGAGGTCCGGCCGAGTACAAGTCATCAGGTACATGAGGCAGCCCACCAGCTCTGCGTAGGGACCACTGGACTCAAAGGGCTCGTCGGGAAAGGGGCCAGTGAGTCTGTGGTCAACAGCAAGAGGTGTGGGCTGTGTGGTGGAGAACCGGAAGTCGAACCGCCGAAGGACCTGCTGCACCATGTGTGACTGAGTTAGTGTGATGGTGCGAGCGGCTCTGTCCCTGGTGATCTGCAGGCCAAGGTAGCGCTGCAGTTCACCTAGGTCAGTGCACTTGTGTCTCTTCTGGAGTTCGGACTTCACCTGAGCCAGAGCTCCCCTGTCTGGTGTGGCAAAGACCAAGTCGTCGACGTACACTAGTATAAAGAAAGGAGTGGAACCAGTGCGAACAAACAGCGACGGGTCGGCAGAGGAAGGACAAAACCCAAGGTCACGAAACGTGGAGCGAAGAGTGTCGTGCCACTCACGGGGCGACTGGCGGAGACCGTAGACTGGCCGTCTCAGGCTCCACTGGGTCCCAGGTGGGAAGGTGTCAGTGAAGCCAGGAGGGCGGTGCAGCCAGATCTCCTCGTGTAGCCGGCCCTGGAGAAACGCAGTAGAGAAGTCAAGGGAGTGCAGCTCGTAGTCTCGTTGTGCTGCTACGTGCAGTAACACCCGAAGAGTAGTCATCTTCAGGGCCGGGGCGAAGGTCTGGAAGAAGTCAACTCCCTCACGCTGACTGAAACCTCTAGCCACGTAGCGCGCCTTGAACACATGCGGTGAACCAGGCGGCCGCTTCACCTTGAAGAGCCACATGCCATCGACTACGTTCGCCCTGGGAGGGGGAACTGCGTCGACGTAGGTGCCTGTGGATCTCCAAGACGCTAACTCCGAGGCCATAGCCGCTTTCCACTGTGAGGCCCACGCCCCTGACACTGCCTCGCGGTAAGTACGAGGAGTCGGTATGTCAAGGGCGTCGGGGTCTCCCTCAGGGGATAGCAGCATGGCACAGACAGAGGTAGAAGCAGCTGCCCAGTACTCCAGCTCAGACTCCCTGTCCTCTAGGACGTCACAGCCAAGGGCAAACTCACCCCCGACGGACAGAGGACGGGAGGGAGGAGCTGGCACCACACGGGTGGTGTAGTCAAGGCGACTGGCGGCAGCAAACTCAGCGACAGCGGCAGTGAGAGCCGAGACAGACGACGGAGGGAAACGAGAGTCGGTGACAAGAGTGGCGAGGACACGAGAGACAACAGGACGAACAGCGCGGTAGTAATCAGTGACAGGAGTAGGGGGGAAAGGGAGAGAGGACAGAGGAGGAGACGGGAGAACGGACTCAGGAGGAGGAGGACGAAGAGACGAACAAGGGAGGGCAGTGCGGAGGTCGGTAACGGGAGACGAGGGACGAGCACGCGGAGGACAGGGACGGACACGAGAGTGTGGGACACGAGGTGGAGGAGACTGCGGTGGAGGAGAAGACCAGACCGCCGGACTGTCGTCAGGAGGAGGAAACGTGGGACCAAACGCTGGACAGGACGGAGTGTGAACAGGAGGAGAGGAGGGAAGACCAAGGGCCCGAAGGCCACTCACGGGTGGGAACAACTGCCGCTCTAGAGGGAGCTGCGGTGGGCGCGGCCGCGGCGGCGGTGTCTGCTGCTGCTGCAGCTGCTGCTGCGGCGGCGGCTGCTGCTGCTGCTGCTCCAACTGCTGCCGCTGCTGCTCCAGCAGGTCCAACTGCCGCAACTCCTGCCGCTCCCTCTCCAACAGCACCTGCTCCTCACGCTCACGCCGACGGGCCGCCTGGAGACGCGTGTCGTGGCGGTGGGGAGGCGGAGTGGACTCCGAAGAACCAGTGTCTCCAGCTCCAGTCTCTTCAGAACCAGCACCTCCAGTGCCAGCGCCTCCAGCACTAGCACCCCCAGAACCAGCACCTCCAGAACCAGCACCTCCCGTGCCAGCACCTCCAGCTCCAGCACCCCTTGAACTAGCACCTCCAGTGCCAGCACCTCCAGCTCCAGCACCCCCAGAACTAGCACCGCCAGTGCCAGCACCTCCAGCTCCAGCACCCCCAGAGCTAGCGCCACCTGCGCCAGCACCCCCAGCTCCAGCACCCCTCGAACGAGCACCCCCAGACCGAGCACCGCCAGCGGCTGCACCTCCAGCTCCAACACCAACCGAGTCCACAGTAACCTGTCGCGGAAGTGCCGAAGGCTGCTGAGGAGACTGTGAGGAGGACTGCGGGGAGGGAGACGCTACCTGACGCGCGACCGAGGGTAGAGGGGTAGCGTGGGACACACCAGACGGGGCAGGACCAGGCGGGGGCGGGGGTACCGGAGGAGGGGGAGCAGGAGGAGGAGAGGGGGCGAGGAAAAGGGGGGGAGGGGGTACCGAGAGACCTCGACAGGGGTACCGGGTGTAGTAGGACACGGACTCGTCAAACCGGACGTCACGGGAGTCTAGGAACTGGTGGAGGGGAGGGTGGTAAAAGGACCAGTCGGCAGAGTCCACCGGGAAACCAAGGAAGACATAGGGGACGGCGCGAGCC